AGTCAAATAATATTTTTATATTATTTTTTAATGGAATAATTGTATAGAATGTCAAACTAATAATGTAAAATAAATACAGTAGTTACTGTTTGATTTATTTGTGTTCCATAGGAAACTGTTTGTCAGTCGCCTCTCTCCCTCATATTCTCGCTCGCCACTCTCCCTCTCTCGCTCGCTCGCCTCTTTTGCTTTATACAATAGAATTGTATAAATTGTATTTCTGTTTGTATAAAACGAGAGAAAATTGTATATACACATGCAAATACATATATCCCCGTCCTATGCATTTATAACTATACAATACAAATATTCCTATCCAAGTTCTTTTGCTTTTTTCTCTTCCTCGTTTTATACAAATTCAAATTGTATTATTTTTTCTCTTTCTCATTTATACAATTCGATTCAATTTATATTCTCTTCCCAAGTGTCTTTTGCCTTTCTCTCTTTTTCGTTTTATACAATTCGATTCAATTGTATATAAATTCAAATTTTATACAGATACATAAACACATACAATCGAATTGAGAGGCTAACAACAATTTATACAAATGAGAGGCTAACAACAATTTATGCAAATGGTCTGCCAGCGAAATTATACAAATCTGAAGAGGAACCAACAAATTATACAATTGCTTCTTTGTATATATGTATAGCGAAATAGGCATAACTTTCAGTTGTATATGCATAGCGAATTACACATATATATGTTTGTTATGGAGCACAATTATGTAAACTTTGTTATAGCATACAAATTTAAATTTTGTATTTGATAAATGTGAAATCTGCCCTCTTGTAATAATCTAATAATTTAAAATATCTAATCTAATTTAGTTTAAAAGAATAATTAAATCAACTCTAAGAAAATTAAACGTGGCAATTATTTAAAACGGAAAAAAGTATTTATTTTTAGTTTTCATACTTTTTCTGAGAAATTGTTAAGAAGGTCCAATGAAATTTATTCGGTATTAATTAGTAATGTGGATACACAACCAATGATCAATTTTTATTTCTTCAAATTGCATCATATTCACTTTCTCACGATATCTCTAAATTGATTGCTTCCTCCCTTTTAAGAAAAGTGGTATTTCAATATTTTTTAAAAGAGGAATAATGTTTTATATATTTAAGAAGATATTAATGCTTATTTTTCTTTAGAGAGAGTTCTATATAATTTGAAAATTACTAAAGAGGCAATTATGTTATGTTTATAAAAATATTCTCCACATTCGTTAATATTATACATTTTCAGAGATAATTATATCTTTAATCATGCTTGTACGTATATATAAAAACTAATATAAAACTGAAGAATCGTTTGGTAGCTGGATGAGGTTTTTGTTATTTATATTTAATTTTTTTGTATGACTTATACTATTTTTTGTAAGGTAGATATGAAATAATACAACGTTTGTGTTATTTATGTGACGTTTGATTGATAATTTTGAAGCTTAAATAATTAATATATAAATAAATAATTTCCACATAAAACGATACTTCTAATTGATTCTTGCATTAATGACTAATACATATATAACTCTAATCAAATATCAAACCAATGGCGATTAGATTGTGACATACACGTGATAACGTGTAAAGTTACAAAACCAAGAAGAAGTCACGTTTACATGTCTTAACTTCAATAACTATTAATTAGATGACTCACAGTGGAGCCTTTTTTTTTCCATCTCTTTTTACTTGCTAGATTTAGACTAATGTATTGTCACCTCAATATTCCTTTTACGTAATTCCAAACCCAAAACTTCTACTTTCAACTACTGCCTATAATCTCCATGCATTTGCATCAACAGACTTTGATTTTATCAATGTATAGCTTTTTCTTTGTTAAGAAAATCAAATAGAAAAAAGAAAAAAAAGAGAGTCAGAATTGATTTTAAAACGATAAAAGGAGTCGCGAAAAATGAAACGTAATTGAGATAAAGTGTGTTACGCTCCAAAATTAGAGAGGGGATCTAGGGTTTGTTAAACCAACTCAATATCTAGCTAGATGATCGATGATAGATGGTTTCACTGTACAATTATAATAAGACTTAGGTCATCTGTAATCACTTAAAGTTGTCTTTATAATTCGTTTAAACACATCAACTAATCTTTATTCCTATTGAATATCTATACCCTTCAAATTGATACATATTTAACACTTTTGGGACAATCAGTCGAAATATAATATGTGTGTACTACACTTGCTCTGACATGACAAGCAGTGGCGGATTCAAGATATCTATTGAGGAGATTCGAAAAAAAAAAGCGTAATGGTTTGAACCCCTAAATTATCTGTTGAGGAGATTCGAAAAAAAAAGCGTAATGGTTTGAACCCCTAAATTATTAAGTCAACCTCTGTTTTTATATTCAGGAGGTTCAGAATCATTATATAAGCATAAAAAATCTTTAATATGCCTTAAATACACAACTTATTTTTTTGTCGAGGAGGTTCGGATGAACCCCCTCAGCATACTTTAGGTGTACAATTTTATGTCTAATAAAAATGATTTTTTAACAAATAAGATATTAAATAAAAATAAAGATAAATTTAAATGTTCAAGTGAAAATTACAAATAACTTTAAGAAATCATATAGAACGATGAAACAACTATATATGCAGAAGAAAATGTTGGAATCACTAAAAATGATTTATTGGTTAGGTCAATAGCAATAATTACTCTACAAAAAGATAAACCCTAATGTTGGAATCCTCAAAGGAATAACATCTCCAAAACTAAAACTAAGATTTATTTTGGATTCCTATCAGTATAAAATACTTATTATTTTATATTCAACTTTTACTTTTGTTCTTTATTTGCTAAATTAATAGTTGACTATTAAAACAAAAGTTCCTAGCAAGACCTTCTTAGCAAAAGTCATCACACATTGATTATGGTCATATTAATTTTCCTTTCATTAATGTTGTATTAATATTCAGAGGCGAATTCAGAATTTGAAGATATTGAGTACACTATTAAGAGTGATTTAAGGGTAAGGTTAGGAGAGACACAAGGTTAACGTTAGCAACATACACAAAATACAATATTTTTCTTCATACTATACTCCAACCATCTAGAAAATGAACCCTTAAACCATGTCTTACAAAATCGACGCATTTTTCGTTCCGAAACTAGTTTGAGAATATTCATTATCATTAATATTCGATTGACAAGACGCTCGTTGAATATAGTATCTTCTCACTTCATCTCGTATTCTAGGGCTATTTTAGCAATGAATATTCTTTCTCCAAGATTCGGTTTAAGTGATTGAAAATCAAACTCATCTATAAAACGCGAAAAAAAATTCTCTAAAACCAACACTTGGTTGAAAAGAACTATTTTTCGTCAAAAATTTATCCATCTCAAAACACAAGAATCAAAATCAAATTATTGTAAAAAAAATAGCCTATAAGGAAAAACTTACTAATTTACGCATGAGAGTAGGACTTCAATTTTGGAGTCTAATATTTTATTTAGAATTGTGTTAGAGGAAATTATTTGTTTTTAAATTCAATTAGAAAGGAATGAAATCGGATGACAAAAAAGGGTAGTTAAGAAAGGGGGTGGGGCCAAATGAGAAGGCCAGAATGAATTTTAAGTTGGATTGATTCTTTGCTACAAATCAATTTATACGTATATATATATATTCTTTGTAATTTCTAAGAAAGTATGAAATGTATCTTACAATGAAATTTTTTGGATTTATTTTTTAGTGAAACTCAGGGTTAAGGACTATATGGATCATGCAAAATACATAAGAACTATATGGATCATGCAAAATGTATTAATGATCAAAATAAAGCACTTCCCATACTTTAAGGACCATTTTCTCAAAGAAAAGGCTTTCAAATTCAAAGTTAAAAAATTGTTGCCTTCGCTGGGGATCAAACTCGCACAGTCGCACCAAAAGCTGATGCGTTCAACCAGTGCACCCAAAGCAACTTTTGATTGTTAGAATGCACAATTAAATATATATATATATATAATTTATTAACTGTCTATATATATACACAATTTTTTTAAAAAAAGTTATTGAATGCTCTCGTGGATGCATGTGGATCCGCCCCTGTTAACATCATATCATATAAATAATACATTGGACGCAAGATTCATACGTTTTATTGACGTATATATAATTTACTTTGTACCAATCAACACGCCTTTAATTAATGGACTTGGTGCTAATTTACTTTGACATATTTATATTGGCTCTTTCTACTTCATGTATGAACAACTACCAAGTTATGTCCGGCCATGTGATATACAAAGTATTGTTTTTCACATTCGTTCATTTTTATTTGTTCACATTAAATTTTATATATTTTTAAAAAATAACAATTAATATAATAAATTAAATACAATTATTATAATACTCATATTTCAAAAAATAATTTGGAAAATAAATAACTAATGCGCTAAGTATCCCCACCACGGGAAATATATGCTACGAAACATAATTTTTCGATTTATTATTCGTCGATGCAGCTCACTAGGAAAATGCATAGCAAGAAACAAATTTTCATTAAATGAAATATTGGAAAATTTCTAATTTTTCAGTATGAAAATATTACTTCCTCCGTTTCAAAAAGGATGACTTAGTTTGACTTGGAACGGACTTTAAGAAAAGAAAGAAGACTTTCTAATCTTATGGTTCTAAATTAAAGTTATGTCAAATGTATCAAAATATTTTTTAATCGTATTGATCTTAAACATGTCATGTGGAAAGTTAAAGTTAAAAATGTTGACAAAAATAACTATCTTTTTTTAATACGTTAAAGTACTTTATAAATAAAAAAACATTTATATTTGAAATATTTAATGGACAAGAAAAAGTAAATCGGAGGAGAGTAATATTAAACTATATAATTATCTAAAAGACGACCGTTAGAAATGTGCTTCTTGCCATGTAAATTTCTTCTTAATTTCCATTCAAAAAATTATGTATTTTTTTTCCATCTAGCCAACTTGTATAAATAGGGCATTTTAATTACAATATTTTTCAAGCTACTCTAAATCAATTTCTCATATATTTTGCTAATTGGTACGTTAAATTATTATCACTTTGATTAATTAGCTTAACAAAAACTTATTTCCCAGTTGCATATAACTTAAAATAGTTTCAAGTATTTTGCAAATATATACTTATGAAAGTTTGTAATTTTTATTTATTTTCTCTACTGATTTGCATATGCGTCTCCACGTGTCATTTGATCAGCTCATTAAAATTTTCATAATAAATCATATCCAATTTTACCATATACTCCGAGGTACTAGACCATATTATTATCGTCGTTTCATTTTATATATGTTACAATCTTTAATCCGTTAAGCAAAATTTTTATATTTAAAAATAATTTAATTTTAAATGGTCATTTTATTATTAATAGCAAGATATCCACCAAAATCTTATAGTATGTTAAAAATATATAAATTTAGAAAATCTTCTTTACCTTTTTGGTTGTGTGTATGATAAATTTCGAATTAGATTTTATAAAGTTTAAATTCTGAATCTCGTATATCAAAAATATAATAATTTTAAAGATCATCTTACTTTTTTGGATATGCATGATAAATTTCGAATTAAATTTTATAAAAAAATTTAAATCTGTCTCTAAATATCATCGAGTACGATTTAAGCTATAGCTTATTTTACAATATATTTATTGCTCTTGGAAATATTCTTTAAAACTGAGTCTAACCTAAAAAGTAGTGAGGGGCATGCAACGAATTTGATTGTATATATCTTTACTATTTTTTTTAAAAGAAAAATATTATATTTAATTATGATTAGCATTTAATTAAATAATTCAGATTTCTTTTCCTAATTATGTTTTCTTTTGTTGTTTGAAAAGCTCATAATTAATGGATTCTTTTGAAGAGGCATCAATTGACATGAAAATGGAAATATTTGAGGCAATTGAAGATAATTATGGTGGAGTTATTGTGAATATGAAGAAAGAGGAGTCTATGGATTTTCTTAAATTTCATACTATGCTCAAGGCTTCCATTTCTCATTGGAGGATAAAGGTATATATCTATATATATTTGATATTTACTCGATCGTAATATTTGAGTTTAAGTTATATGTATTGTTTGATAAATATATTTACTTATATTAAAATCACACAAAGGTAATTGCAGATAAGAGAAAAATTTTATATAATAGCAAATTATTAATTCAAATTAAATGTTATAAATATAGTTTACTGTTGCTATTTTCGCCTCTCTCCCTGATGGATCTCACTTGCCACTTGACAATCTCTCGCTTTTATATAAACACAAATGTATAAAATCCGTTTGTGTTATAAAGTGAGATAAAATTTTATATATAAATATGTTTTCGTTCCCCTATCTAATTTCGCTTGCCACTCTCACTCATCTCTCTCACTTTATACAAACACAAATATATATATACATTGAGTTTGTGTTTGTATAAAGAGAGAGAAAATTTAAATATACAAATACAAATGCATATATTTTCGTCCAATACACTTATTATAATACAACTACGATCTTCTCCTGTCCAATTTTCTTTTGTCTTTCTCTCTTTCTCGCTTTATATAAACACATGTTATAGAATTAATTCTTTCGTATATGTATACCGAAACAGATTATACAATTATTTTTTTTGTATATGTGTATAGCGAAATAGCCACAACCTTTTGTATATATATATAGCGAAACAACTACAACCTTTCGTATACATGTATAGCGAAATAGCATAACATAACAAATTAAATTATATTACCGACCAGTCATCGTTAACAAAAATCTCACTAATTTTAATTTATTTTTGTTATTTTTCCTTTGATTTTGATGGTCAGGGAAAGAAGGGTGTTTGGATTAAGTTACCTATAGAACTTGCTCATCTTGTTGATGCAGCAGTAAAGGTATAATTTTATTTCATGAAAATAACTAATAATTTATTATTAACATTAGATTATTTTAAATTCATACAAATATATGCTTAATTAATATGATAAATTAAATAAATGTAGGAGGGATTTTGGTATCATCATGCAGAGGCAACATATTTGATGCTTGTTTATTGGATTCCTCATGAAATTCCTCATACTTTTCCTGCTAATGCTTCTCATCGTATTGGTATCGGTGCTTTCGTCCTCGATCAAGACGGACAGGTTCGTTAAAATTTTAACTTGATACGAAGTTTAAGAAAAAATAATTTTTTTATTGGAAATTTATGATTTCGAACATGTTTAAGTATATTAAGGTCTTTAAATATGTTATACGATTATACTCCTTCTATCCACAAATGTTTGTCAGGTAAGGTCATGCACTCCTCTTAAGGAAATTTAATACAAGTCGTAATACAATTAATGTAATCCTACTATATCAAAAATATCAAAAGTTTACATAACCTTTCAATTGAACAAAATTGAGTAATTATTAAGGGCAGGATTAGGAAAAAATGACTAATTATTTTTTGATTGTGTAAATTGACAATTAATTTTGGACATCTATTTTTAGTATATCTGTCAAACAATTGTGGATTGATGGAGCACAAATTTACTCCCTTTGTCCTATTTTATGCGACACTTTTCGTTTTTCGAAAGTCAAACAGTTTAACTTTAGCTGCGTATTTGCGTATGAAATTTTTAATTTCTTTGAAATAAGATTTATATATATTTATAAACTACGCAAAGAGTACTATAAGTTACGATAATGAATAATTTAAAATGTAAAAAGAAATTATAAAAATTTACTGTTAAAAATATATTTTTAAATTTAATAATTTAAAATATGACATTGGCAGGTACTTGTAGTTAAAGAGAAATCTGGAAATGTGACTGGGACCTGGAAGCTTCCTACTGGTGTAGTTGATGAGGTTTAAAATTTTTTTATATTTTTTTCCTTTTTCTCATTTTACTTCTTTTTTAAAATTTATATTATTATTATTATTATTATTATTACTATATTATTATTGTTATGACATTGGCATGTGTTCATATTTTTTTACAGTATTAATATTTTTTCCTAATCGTTTCCATTCATAGATCTACTAATGGAACGAGAATTTTATTATCTAAATTGATTGGTTATCTAAAGTTTAAATAATAAAATTTGTTATTTATTATAATAAAAATAACTTTTAATAGCACTATATATTAATATTAACAAAGAGTGTTAAAGTCTTACAGACATTAGTTAGGTGTTATTAGAACTAATGTCGCTAAAGACTTTAGGAACATATACATTAATTGTCGCTAAAAATACTTATTAAGTGACAATTAATAATTAATTGCCGTTAATAATCATCTTTGATGTAATGACTAATTCTACTTAGTGTTTTAATATATTATTAAAAAGTTATTAGTGATTTAGCGATGAAGTTCGTAGCGAATTATTTTATTTTTTTAACGAATTTTACTAATTGTAGGGGGAGGATATATGTATGGCAGCCGTTAGAGAAGTGAAAGAAGAGACAGGAGTAAGTATATATATCACTACTAAATTCTTGCTATGAAAATAAAAAGTATTCTTTTTTTGAAAAATAAAATAAAATATTGTGCTAGAAAACTAATATAGAACCTTTTTTTTATTATTTTTTTTATTTTATAGATTGAGACAGAATTTGTTGAACTTCTTGCCTTTAGGTATGAATATCCATCCATTTTTCAATCATTTGAAACTTGAAAGTATAGTGTAAATTATATTTTGATAAATTGTCAATTTAAGTTAATTAAAATACAATATTTCCATGCAGACAAAGTCACAAATCATTCTTTGGAAAATCAGATTTGTTCTTCATATGCATGTTGAAACCACTTAATTTCACTATCAACAAGCAAGATGCTGAGATTGAGGAAGCTAAGGTATATATATACATTCACTCGCGCTGGTTCAATTTATATGTCGTACTTTCCTTTTAATTGGTTTTCAAAAACGCAACTTTTATATATATTAGTATTTTCTTTGTTCTAATTTAAGTATTATTGTTTAATTGAATACGAAGTTTACGAAATAAAAAGAGATTTTTAAATTTTATTGTCTTGAATTAAAGATATGTATATAGTCTTTTAAATTTTATGGTCTTAAACTTACCATGTAATTAGATGTTGGATATGGAAAGAGAGGTACTCTTTTTTAGACAAACCAGATATAATAATAAGACATTTAAATTGAATAACAATTGTTAATCACATATTGTATTATCTCATCTGGTAAATGTTTAAGACTATAACATTCAAAGTTTGTTTTAATACATTATGCACGTGTTTAATTTCAAACCATAAAATTTAAAAGTCTTTCAACTATTTTAATATCTGTATCTATTTAAACTAAGACACGTAAAATGAAACTTAGGTAAAAACTTTTTTTTTGTGTAGTGGATGGCAATGGAAGAATATGCAAGTCAATCAAAGGTGAACCAAAGTGAACTCTCTAAAATGATAGCCAATATATGTATAGCCAAGAAAGAGGAAAAATACACTGGCTTCTCTGCTCTTATTACAACTAGTGGACATTCTGCCAAGAAGTGCTATTTATACTCTAATAATATATAGTATATGATACTCATAATAATAAAAGTTTTATGATCTTTTATGCATATGTTTGCAATAAGAATAATGTTTGTAATAAGATTTTTCCCTTTGGAAGAATTAAGATTCTAGTTTGTTTGATCATATATAATGTTTTGGCAATTGATATTGATGTATGTTTTCCACTTTGTTTTTGTTTGGATAATTCGATGTACTGTTTTTACAATCACTAGCAATTTGATACATGATATACTTGTTATGTATATGAAGTATTGTTTACTAAAAAAAAATACTAGTTAATTACTATAGTGAAATTTTCAAATAAGTTACGTATATTATCAAAATCACTCAGCTAGAAACAACTAGAAGATTTAGGGAAGCTGAGTTCATAATATTTTGGTCTATAGTGTATTATGTTTTTTTTATAATTTTTTTGAACTAGCGATCTTAAAGTTATAAGCAAAGGAGTAATATTTAACATGTGAAGTTGCAATTTGAATCTCAAAGTTAGAACCAAAACTCATTGAATCTTAAAATTTGATAAGTATAATCCACGCAAAATTTGTTCTTGCTCAACGAGTTGTGTTATAGTAATAACGGAAAAGGGTTAAAAATACCCTTAAACTATTTGAAATAGCTCAGATATAAATCTACCATTTCCGTTATACTATTGGGACAAAAGTACCCTTCTTATCAACGGAAGTTGTTAAATGCCACGTGGATGCCATATGGATGCCACATTGCATGCCAATAGGATTCCACTGCCACGTAGATTAAATAGAAAGGTTCAAAAATACCCTTAAACTATCCGAAATAGCTCATATTTACCCTTAAACTATATTTCGGCTCAAAACTATCCTTCCCGTCAAACTATTGGGTTAAAAGTGACCTTATTAGCGAAAGTTGTTAAATTTCACATTTGATACATTGACTAAATCCCTAAATCTTAATTACTCATTTTTTACTCATTTCATTATTTTCTAGAAACGATTTTACCCCTTCTCCCTCATTTCGCGACTAAGGTTTCACAATTTTCTTCGTCTCTGGGTTTCAAAGTAGATATTCGTGGTTATAGGTTAGTAAACTTTTTTTTTATTTTATTGTGTTTACAATCACGAAAATCCACTTTGAAACTCATTCACGCAACCTTGGCCGCAAATGACGGAAAAGTTGCGAAATTCTAACTATCATACGTTGAAATCGTAAACGTAATAAAATAAGAAAAAATATTTATTCACCTACAACCATGAATATCCACTTTGAAACTCAGGCCCCAAGAAAGCTACGAAGTCTTAACTGCGAAATTAGGGGAAAGTTGTGAAATCCTAACTATCATACTTTGAAATGGTAAACATAATAAAATAAGAAAAAATATTTACTAACGTACAAGCATAAATATCCACTTAAAAGTATGAAACCCTAGCCGCGAAATGAGGGAGAATGGGTGAATATATCGTTTCTGAAATAATGAAATGAGGGGGGAAGTAATTAGAATTTAGGGATTTAGTTTATGTGGCAGTGGAACCTTATTGACATGCAATGTGGCATTCACATGGCATTTAACAACTTTTATTGATAAGAAGGGTACCTTTGATCCAATAGTTTGACGGGAAGGGTAGTTTTGAATCGAAATATAGTTTAAGGGTAAATATGAACTATTTTGGATAGTTTAAGGGTATTTTTGACTATTTCTATTTAGTCTACGTGGCAGTGAAATCCTATTGGCATGCAATGTGGCATCCATATGACATCCACATGGCATTTAACAACTTCCATTAATAAGAAGGGTACTTTTGACCCAATAGTATAACGGAAAGGGCAGTTTTGAGTCGAAATAAAGTTTAAGGGTATATATGAGCAATTTCGAATAATTTAAGGGTACTTTTAATCTTTTTACCTAGTAATAATTTGACAATCATGGGAATGGACACACCTCTCATATTTCGAGGCTAAATTGATTAAGGGCCCGTTTGGATGAGCTTAATAAAATC